TCCCACAATTTCAACTATTGAAGACACTTCCTCAGCCATTTTTCAGTTGCTACTTGGGACATAATTAATTCCTGCATGGTCCCAGTTTATAATTAATTCTCCGGCACTTCTTCCAATTCAATAATAACTTTTATGTCAAAATTGAATTGAGCTTTCAACAATTCAAACCTCTCAACAGATACTTTTGACTTAGTGTTTGCCTTACGTTTTACATAACCCATTCGTCTCAGCAAAGCTTTAGCCCACAGTAGGTCGCAAGTAATATGGCCACCGTTACACTTCAACAAATTTGCATCATAATTCTTTACCATCCCCTTGGCTGCTGACGAAACGATATAAGCATTTATTACTCCACCATTTCTATGCAGTTCAGCAATATATTCTGTAACATGCTTGTCAAGCTCTTCTCCCAACAACAAAGGACGTTCCCTATACTTTGGGTCAAGTTTTAGAATAGAAGTAGCAAGTGAGACATCATCCCTTGTGGCCTCTTACAGCCTTACCTATGTTAGTAATGTAATATAATGGTGCTCAGTTTCATTACCATTAAGGTTCAAACTTCCACACTGTGCGTAATATTTACAATACTGTCATCTATCTTGTATTATTTGCTACGTGGTATCTTATAGCTGTAAATGCATGATGTTTCAATAATACAATAACAGATTCATAATACAATTATTCTCTATCCCAATACTTGTAGATGTACATGTACATGTATCTATTTTTATGCATTTCTTCGTTCTCAATTTGTTGTACCTTATGGATAAAAATTTATGTGGGAATTGAATTTGGCGAATTGGCGTTTTCGTAGCTATTTTCCAAAATGAATATTCACCATTATCAGCCATTATGCGTACATTTAATGGCACGTGGTCAGGTTCGCCAAATTAAATTCAGCAAATTTTAGCAGTTTGTCAAATTTTACTCCTTCCAAAATTTCCAACTATACTGTATAATCTTTGTCTCATGATGTCCTTTCCTCTCTTTTGCCTTTTTCTCCTAGTCATATATACATGTACTTCAATACATGTCTAACTTCTGCTTTTACCATTTAGGTGCCTTTTACTGCCCTCGCCCACGCCATAGGCATATAGGTGAGACTATTGCGCTCGTGCTGTCAGTGTGTGTGTGATAGGAAAATTTTCACTCATGGATGATATTTTAGCTGATGCTACTTTTTTAGTCAAGCTCTTCAGAGCATTTTATTTGCCAATTAGGTACACAAAAAGTTGTTTTTTCTCTATAATAAACTCTTGTTCCTTTCCAAGGTGGCAAAAGTTGCAGCATTTAAGAACAGAAACAGTTTACAAGTAACTTTTGCATAGTTCAAGCTATGGTACCTTTGAAGGCAACAGCAGGTAAAGGAAAACATGGAGAGCAAAAATTATGTGCAGAATTGCTTGACTTTTCTTCATTCGTGAGATATGACAGCTTAAGTGTGACTCACCAGCCATTTTGTAGCATAGCGACTCCCCTCTGAGAAGGTGGCTACTGCCTTAAAACTGAAGAAACTGGATATAGGAATTGTAGTGGTAGTACTGGTTGTAATGATAGTACTGGTCATTATTTGTGGTTATTAAGTTAGTATCGTTATTTTGGTTGCATGTATTTTATCATAAGTTGCATTGGTTGTATGTACAGTTGTATTTGTTTAACAGTTTGATTGTATTGTCAATAATAATATAATGAATAATTGCATGTGTAGCTAAAAAATGAAGCATTATTGTAAATAGTTTAATGAGTTTGAGATTAAACAATCATTTTGAAGGTATTGATAGAGCCTAAAAGAAACTGAGACAGATTCACTAAACTGAGTAGTTAATCAACAAAAATAGTCATAAAAAACAAAATATGACTAACAAGTTATATGTTCAAATGTAGCTGTGCAATAGAGATATACTGAAAAATTTTCAAATTGTTTTCATATTCCTTAATGGCTTAGCTCATTTCCACATGTGATTTCGGAGTTACCGGGACTGAAATGTTGAGAGCATTCAAAGGGTCTATCACTCTATTCTTTATCTTAGTTAAGGACTCCAATGAAGCATCTACATTATGCTTCCCACAATGTTGAATTAAGTTTTATATAAATAAGTACTGTAATTGTGTAGGAGATCCAGTTGATTTTAGTTCTCCTGAATGGTGTAAGATGGTAGCACTGTTACAAACTTCTCCTCTGGAACTATGTGTAAATCTTTTTATTGTTTGATGCTTTGAAGTTACTTTCCCATGTGGATTGCTACAATTTCTGCAATGACACAGATTACTATAAGCTTGCTTGGCCTAAGCACATTTACAGTGAACTTGAGTAGTATATTTGCTCTTTATCACATTACAATTCCCCATCTTTATCATTGAAACTACACCTACAAGAAGCTTTTGTGCTGTCATCAGGAGGTAATATTACACAGGTGAAACTGCATAATAGTGACCGCAGTCATAATAACTATATGATACATATACTTGTGTTTCAAGCCTATCCTCTAGTTGTTACATGTGTTACAGGATGGTGCTTTGCAGAGCAGAATATAATTTACTGAGATGAAGTGCATTTGATATTGCCATTGGCATGGTGTTACCAAGTAAACTTTGATAAAATCCAGGATTTTCTAATTTTTCAATTTCATGACTTACTCAAACACCAGCAGTCAAACACTTCCTAATCTGATGAATGTGATTTCTATTTCTAAACAGTAATTCCATGTAAATTACAGGCAACTTGTGGAATCTCACCTGAATAATCAACATTGTGTTTGACAAAATAATTATTAGAAAATTTCATACTATTTTCCGTAGTATAATAAGCAACAGATGAAAAAAAGATGTTGCCATTCCAGTAACTTTGATTGACTTAAAATCCAATGATTGAAGCAATGTTAAAGTATCTCATGATGACTTTCACAAGTTTTCTGTGAACTGTTCCTTGAGATGTCAAGGCAGTTTACAGATGACATAAAAGGAGCATGTTTATATTGGTATATGTGTGGATATGTACTGTTTTGCAGCATTTATTTTGATATTTTCCATGATGCTTCAGCTCTTACGAATAAATCCAATAGTGCATCATTAGAAACATCATTGTTCTCATCTGGAAGATGAGTGACTGTTACAATTAATTGGTGAATTAATTGTTCTTGCCCGAGCAACCAAAGTGGAATAGGACAGTCATATTTTTAGCATAATCCCAAATATTTTAATGCATCTAGTATTTTGTGACTTCCCAAGATAAAAAGCTTTCGATGATACTATAACCTTTGTTGAAAAGCCATTCCTTAAACTAACTTTCTGGTTATGATTATGTAACAATATTGTTAATAGAGCAAGTGCTACAGTGGTGCCCATTCTGCAACAAGAGAAAAAAGGGCCTTAAAGATCTAAGAAGGGCCTCGTTTTTATTAGTTCCACAACCAGCATCAATGTCTGATAAACAGCCTTTCAAAACATGTTCCTTTATAAGTGTCACTTCTTCCCTTAGTCATTAAACACAAAAGATCCTTTAGCATGTGTTTGTTGCCACATTTTTTGAAAAGAGTTAATATTGCCATGTAAAATTTCCTTGCTTGCTGTAGGCTGTGTTCTTTTACTTCCTAAATCAGATTTTTGCCTGAACAGGAACTTTATGTCTGCTACACAAAAATGTGAAAAAAGATAAGTCTTGGAATATATATAGTTAATTTCTGAGCTGCGTGAAAGAGATCAAACTTAATAGACACAGCAATACCAAAGTATATTGCGGAGTTGTGTCCTTGACAGACAACAATTGTCAACATATACAGTATTCACTAGTATTTGGCTTTTTTGAAACCTTTGATTTAATGTAATTAAAATTGGTTTACACTCACTTAAAGAAGTACGTATAGTAAACATCCATGATATGATATATATTATTTATTACCAAAACAACACAATTATACTGTGATAGTCATCTTCCATTTGGTCATAAATAGCCAATGCTGGCAGTCAATTTAAATGTATAATCCAGACATATAACACCTGATGATGAAAGCAACGATGGTATACAATCAAAATATTATTTCTTGTTTTCCGTAAAGTCTTCAGTAAAGCAGTACAAAATTGAATCATTACTTGGATATGGCTTAAAAGGAAGTTCAGTAAGAGGAATACCGTCGTTAAAATTGCTATGTAGTTTATTAAGTAATGACTGTAGTGATGCCACTGTTTGTTCTCTTCTTACTTGGATGAAGTGCTCCATAGCAGACATTTTCAATCCTTAAATTATCAACTGAATCACAATTTTCAAGATGATCTTGTGACACCAGATTGGTGAAACAGAACAAATGACATTAATTTTTGTTCTTGAATTTCAGAAAGAAGCCTTGGATCAGTGTATACTACATCATGTCTGGTGCAACTTTAGAAGCAAGAATAAACAATTGTTTTGTCTATTTCATGTAAGAGGTGAGTAGAATATCCTTTGCTGGAACCACATTTCCACCTAGTGAAATGAAGAATTGCACAACAACCATCAGCAGGACAAATGAATCAACTATAGCAAAGCTGTATTACAGGATTCCATACAATAATATGTCAAAGCATTACTACATCCAGGGGCGGATCTAGGGGTGGGCCAGGGTGAACCTGGCCCACCCAAGAAAATTTTGACTATGAATTTCATTAAAAAACAATTTTAACACTATAATAACCGTGGTCATTGTGGTCAGCTAGTCACTGCATGCACATGCATCCTTGCATACAATTAATACCAGGTGTAAAGTAAAGGAGGACCTGTCAAGTTGTATAGTTTTTGATTACTTGTGATTAAAATAAGTCTGAGTAGTGAGTCATGAGTAATAAGAAGCAGGTTACTTTATTTCAATGTTCCTTTAATGCTTCCAGATCTAGATCTAGTACAGTTATAAAATTTTTTGTAGTTTCATTATTAATGATAATCTCAACTAGACCAAAGCAGCAGCAATACCAATAGTGGCACTGCTACTCATGCTACTGGTACTAATGAGAGTCATGGTGATGAACTAATGGAGCAGTTGGAGCATATTAGTGCCACAGATGAAGAAAGTACATGTAGCATCTCTGTTGCTGCTCCTACTACTTGTGACAACTCAGTCCCAGACTCTCATCAATCTTTAGCCACAGGATTAGTGAGTAATGGTGTTCCACATATTGCTTCTAATGGGGAAGAAAAGCCTTTTCAACTGGTAAATTTTTCTTTTCCAACTACATCAATTGGTGGTAAGGAAAGGTCATTTAACCCTTCGTGGTACAGACAGCATCCATGGCTTGAATACTCTGTTTCAAGAAATGCTGTATTTTGCTTTGCTTGCCACTTCTTTTCTGCCAACCCAGAAGATAAATTTGTGAAAACTGGATATTGTGACAGGAAGCATGCTACTGGGAAAACAGGTGCTCTAGCAAAACATAATGTCTCAGAGAAGCACCAAGAAGCGATGGCTAATTGGAGTGCACTTACTGTACAACCTCACACTTCAGTTGCTTCATTGCTAGATCGTAACAGAAGTGAATTAATTCATAACAACCGTCACTACATTAAAGTTGTCATTAAAGTTGTCCTCTTTTGTGCTTTGCGGGAGATCTCTGTACGTGGTCACAGAGAAGGTGAATCCGCTTCAAATAAAGGTAATTTTCTTGAGCTAATGGAGTTGTTTTCTAGCAATGATGAGACTCTTAAAGCACAGTTGCATGCCCATCCTAGAAATGCAACATATTTTAGTATTTTAGCAGATGAGACAAGAGATGTAAGCAAGCAAGAGCAAATGTCTTTTGTTATTAGATATGTTTCTGTGTCTAATCATTCCATTCAGGAGCGCTTTCTCACATTTGTTCATGCAACTGGATTAGATGCTTCATCGTTGACACAATACATCAAAGACACACTGGCATTATATGATCTCAATCCCTTGTGCATTGTCAGTCAAAGTTATGATGGTGCCAGTGTCATGTCTGGGAGGTGTAGAGAAGTACAGACAAGAGTTAGAGAATTTGCACCTCATGCTGTGTATATACACTGTCATGGTCACATTTTCAATCTAGTTCTTATTGATTCAATTAAATCAATCAATCGAGCAGCTGAGTTTTTTGCCTTGCTTCAGGTACTTTGTCTTTATTTCTTCTTCAAAAGTCCACGAAGTTTTTATAGCAATGCAAAAGCAGCTACATCCAAGTAAGCAACCAATGGAATTGCAGAAGCTTTCAGACACTCGTTGGGTTGCTCGTTATGCCTCTGTGAATGCTGTCTGTAAAACCTTTGATTCAATTCTTTCTGTCATAGAAGAATTTACTAATGGTTCAGATGTTGAGAAATCCATCGAAGCTAGGGGTATATACCATCAAATAAATTCCTTCTCATTCATTGTCTCTCTGGTAGTATTTGACAAAATACTTTCCTGTACTAAACAGCTGTCCGACCAACTCCAGAGTAGAAGTATTGATTTATCAATGGCTACAGACCTCATTGTGGCTATAAAATCTTTACTTTCTGATATGAGATCACAATCATCATGGGATAACATATATCGCTATGCTAGTCAAATTGCAGATTTGCACTCTTTTGATATTCAGCCTTTGTCAATGCCCCGACCCAGAAAGAGGCCTGCTCGGTTAGAAGACAGTGTCATCATGGAGTCCGTTGGTTTTCGTGAGACAATAAGTGTGGCAGGTACCTATAAAACCTCTTTTTACTATCCCATTCTTGACAAGTTTCTTCAGGAACTGGAGTTAAGGTTTCATAGAAGCAACCTCATTATTTTGAAGGGAATTGCATCATGTACACCATCATCACAATCTTTTTTCTTGTATGAAGACATGAAGGCATTTGCGATGGAATATGATGTGGACAGTGATGGCTTGGATGTTGAAATCAAGTTGATTAGAAGGTCACTTGCTAACACTACAGTAACTGTAGATTCTTTAATGTCCTTCTACAGCTATCTTCATTCTTCTCAACCTGCTTTTGGAAATATTACTTAGCTGACACAGATATCACTCACCATAGCTGTGACTAGTGTCTCCTGTGAGAGGTCATTTTCTTCTCTTAAGATTATAAAGAACAGACTACTAAGCACAATGACTGAGGATCGATTGTCTGACTTAGCAGTATTGTGTGTTGAGCGAGATATAGCGAGAAACTTGGATTTGGAGGAAATGGTTGATAGTTTTGCCTGAATGGACAAAAATAGGCGGATCCTCCTTAAGTAGTTCATTAAATTTATTCATCAGATATTACTAATAGTTATAACAATTAATAAGTAGTTATTGTAGTTAATTAAGTAGTTATTAAGTTGTGCCCACCCTGAAAAATAATCCTGGATCCGCCCCTGACTGCATCAATGATGTTAGGATCAGTCAAATAGTATGAAGGAGTTGTAATGACATTTAGACTTCTATTATGCATGTAGGAGTACTAAATAGTTCTAAAAATATATTCATTAAGAGTTATTCAATGTCTCACATGTGTTTCCACCAGCAGCGGAAGAACACTTTCCAAATACAGGGGGCTGAAAAAGTAGTGAAAAGAAAGTGGGAAGAAAATATTTGCATGCTTTGCGCGCAAAAAATTTTTTTGCACCTCATTAATTGTTCATGAAAGGCGTGGCTAATTTGCACATAATTGATTAATTGTTGTATAATGATGCGTAACAATAAATTAAAATCTGCGTAAGTATTAATAATAATTACCAAAATAATTTTGTCTTCTCTCTTTCTACTTACAAATTCAACAGCTATTTTTTGAAGGTCCAAACCTTCACATGCTCTCTTGTGTACATGTAATAGTAATAAATGATTTAATGTTTCTGTCATGTTACTACGTAAGTAATTCTTTAATCTTCGAAGTGAAGAAAAAGATCTCTCGGCTGTTGCTGAGGTAAGATGTATAGTTAAATGAATGTGCAGCAACTTCTTTATCTCTCCTAGCATTGTT